GGCCGCCCTGAGGCTGGCTGTTTCCGGCGGTTGAGGTGGTGGCTGGCCAGGGTTAAGTCATTTTTGGGCTCAGGGAGGCCAAGGGGTGGTTAATGATGGTTAATTCCTAATGGTAAGTGATGACGGCCAAGATATTTTGGTTTAGGCCAAAAATGGTGTGAAATCCCCAAAATCAAGAGAACATTGGTCCATAACTCATGTAGGGTGAGCTAGGTGGGTCTAACCTGGTCACTATAGTCCAAATGGTGGTTGTAGTGGCTTTGGTTTGATCAATTTGGCTTGGTTTGGTTAACTTTGGTACATGGGATCAATTTTGGGCAATTTGGCTTGAAGTTGGGTTTAGGTTAGGCTAGTCATGACATTGAACTCAATTGATTGATCAAAATGGTGTAGATGATTGTCACAAGGAGTTTAGAAAAGATTTGGAGGTTTTATTTGAAGGAATTTGGCTCATGATCAATTTTGGGTGTGTTGGGTAAGACTTGGGTTTGAATTGGGCTAGAGTTTTGATATGGCCCAATTACTGGTTCAAATTCATTTTAATAATTTTCATAAAGAGTTATTGATATCAATTGAGTGGAAATTTATGGGTTATGGAGTTTATATTGGTGGAATTGAACTTGGGGACATGACCAATTTGGGGGCAAAATTGGGGGTTTTGGTTCAAGTTGATTTTGAGTGAAATTGAGGTCTGACTAAAGCCAAATGAAGGTTCAATTTGATGTGGGGAAGTGTTGTCAAGATTTTATGATTCAAAATTGGGGCAAATGGATAGATTTGGGAGTTCAATTGAGTGAGATTTTGATTTTGGGTCAAATTGGGGCTATTTGATTTCGGTTGAAATTGGATTCAAATTTGGGTCAATTGGGCTTGGATTTGGTTTCAATCTAGCTTAGACATGATTAATTTGAGTTTATAATTAAAATTGGGGAAAAATTGGAATCAAATTGGTGGACATTGGGGGTGAATTGGGTCTTTAAAGACAATTTGGGGCTTTTAGTCAAAATAGGTCAAATTGGTCAAATTGAGCTTAATGTAGTGGTCCAAATTGATTTTGGGGGCATTTGAAGAGATTTTGAAAGTTTTGGGACAATTTTGGTCACCAAGGGTATTTTGGTAATTTTGAAATTTTTGGGGTGTTTTGGTCAATTTGGGTGGTTTCAAATGATTTGGGATGATTTTTGAACAAATTTGGGTCTTTTGGCTAATTTTGGGAATTTTGGTCAAAATTTGGGTTTCAAGGGTAGCTTAGTAATTCAGGTAGATTTGGGTGCAAAATGTTAAGTTGGGTATTTTGAAAATGTTGTGCAAAATGTTAAGTTGGGTATTTTGGTAAAATTGGGGTGTCAATCACCCTACTTGAGCCATGGACCAATAGAATTCCCTACTTTGGGTTCTCCATGTACTGGTCATAGTTAAACGCTAGCCTAAGGCTAGTGGGGCTAGGAGACAATCTACATGAGTCTCCCAAAGGGTTAAGGGATTAAGGTAAGCAGCTTTAGGCTTAGGGTAGTAAGTGGTGCAAGTGTTTGTGTGAGACCAACCAAGACCACACCACCAGAGGGTTAACCCTAAGGCCAAGCAGCCCTATGGGGACTCCCCTTGAGCTCTCTCATATTGACCCATCCTACTAAGTGCTAGAAGTTAGGACCAATATGTGGAACTTCAAGTTGAGCAAATAAGAGTTTAGAGTTTCTAATGGTGAGGGTTCCTTTTCTATTGCTCTAGGAATAGTCAATAGAAAAGTCCTATGGCTAGACCCTAGGCTACTAAAAAGGAAAGACTAGACCTCAAACGAAAGTAAGGTCAACATTAGACTCAGATTTTTATTGTTGAGCCAGAGGGATGAGGGAAGGAAAGAGGATTTAACTTTGCACTTAGAGAGGAGAGGGAGAGGAAATTTTTTATCTAGAAAGGAAGAAGGAAGAATAGAACTAAAATTAGATCATAGGGATGGGAGAATTCATAATTTTTAGGCATTGTTAGGGTTGTTCATAAAATGGGGGATGAATACGATTCAAATGGAGGAAGTGAATGGAGGGTTAAGATCAAATAGACTGGAGGAGAGCAAGGGACTGGGTAGAATTGATGACATGGATCAATGGAATGCATAAGTGTGAATTATTGACATGACACAATGCGGTGGTTAGATGGAGTGAGGTTACAAGGTGAATGTAGGGCTAAGATTACAAATATGAGGGGAATTATCCAAAATGATAGAGGTATATGGGTGATTAGCCAAGATAGTCAAGGTAGATATGAAAAAAATACATATATAGGTTATTTTAAAGAGGAGAAATAAAAAATCTAATGGTTTAAACTATTTATTAAAAAAAAAGAGATCTTTAGCTCAAGTTACAAAGTGGTTGGGAGTTGGTTATGGTTAAAATTTTGAATTAGGCTTATTTGATAGAAAAATATAAGGAATCAATGTTCCAAGTGGATTTTTCAAATTCAAGCTCGACGTAAAGATATGGTCAGTCAAACTGAGCTCAAGTACCTTTAAGAGAGAAAATAGTAAATTTTGAGCAAAAAATTTTAATTTTTTTTCATTATCCAAATTGTGTATTTTTATATTTAGAAAACCTATAGTACAAGTCACAAGTTGATTTGAAGCTGTTTTAAAGTGGTTATGATCAAATTATCATTTTCTCTCTCTTGATTATCTTTGGCTCAACAGACGTCCAAATAGAGTCAGAATTAAGCAGAGAGGGATCATTTGAATGTTTTTGATGATACAAATGCAATAATGAAGTTTATTTTTAAATATAACGACTCGTTGAATGATTTTTATGTGGAACTATACCTTTCATATAGACACTGAAGTCCTTAGTGCTCAATTTTATGTAAGAACATTTTCTGATGACCACCAATCGGTTTGCATGATTTTTATATGTGATTTTGAAGATCATATAACTTACATACTATAAATTGGATTACTGGATTGATATGTGGAAGAAAAAGATTATTTCTGGTGTTTGTGACAATATTCATTAGGCATATAAATTTGAATTGAAGACTTTTACATAAAACTTATTTAAAATAATCATCAAACTTATTTGCGTGGTATTTTTAATTAATAATAAGCCTCATGCATCTTTCAAAATGAAGTCTTAAGTTCTACAATTATCTCGGGAGAGAAAACAATAATTTTAGGGTTTAAGTGATTAAGGTTATGTTTCTGTTTGGCTAAAATTAATTGTGTTTGATTGAAATTTTAAGTTTCCTCAAATTAAATTTTTCCCAAGACTAAGCTCAAGTAAAATCTAGTTAAGTTTAGCCAGGAAAATAGGGTTGTCCACCATTGCAACTTTCCTCTTTATTCTCTCAATCACCCTCTTTTTCTATGTCGAGGAGCTCAATCCTTATAACCTGCACAACATGACAAAGATACATTTCCCAAGTGTCATATTAACATAAAGTATGCAATCAATAAAAATTAATGTGCCAAAAGTTGGCATATATTTTATTCATATCTAAAGGTAAATCAATATATTATCTTTGCACAAAATAATTTTAACTATATATCTAGAAACATGAAATTAGTCTAACATGTCAATCATTCATGATGGTCCAAGGTAGACCACATAAGCACATAATTTCCTTAAAATGATTTTATATTATGAGAGGCACATTAATTTATATTGATGGTCTTATAAAATTGATTTAATCTTATAAAATTTCATCATATCTTAATCTAAATTTAGACCCTTTATATTGTATGGATTAAAAAATCATCCAAATATATAATATAAATAATGGGGTAATTTTTTTGTTAGAGTTCTTAATAAATATCAAGTAATAACTAGTTAGCTATAAAATTGTTATGTGAGGCCATTTTAGGTTCGCTTGAAATTTGAATGGATTAGGTGTAATTATAGTAAGAAAAAATGATTCCTTAAAAATGTATGTTAGTTTTAAATAATTATTTTTAAAGTTAATTTAGATTTTTTTTCTTACAAGTCATAAGAACTTGTTGATGGTCTATTTTCAATTGATCTAAGGGAATGATACCATTAAATAAGAAACTAAACCAATCTCACAAAAAAATTATAGATAATGCTCATTAATCTTATAGATTGTAATATAGAGAAAAGCATTTATTCATAGAAAAATTTTTAACCAAATTTAAAATTTATACGACCAATTATACCATATTGATAGGTAAAAAGTGTTTTGAAATTCCAAAGATTTGACAGAGATTTTATACAAAATAACTGAACAATTAATAGAGGATGACAATTTTAATACCAATTTCTTTTTCCACTAGAAAGGTTGTCATGCACGATTTGAAAGAGATGTTAGAAAAAATTACATCTAGATAAATATTAAGCTTTGACATGAGATTTGAATTAGCTTTTTTTTGTGGGCTTTTACTACCTTGGGCTCTTGTTTTTACTCATATAATGAGTTTAACAAAAGGATTTGAATTATTCAATTGATGTGCTACATCATATAATATCTTCTCTTCTATGAAGAATAACCAAACAAGCCATATGTGATCTCTTAAGGATAATCACTATATCTTAAGGTTCATACTACTTTCACCTTGAAAACCATCTTTTATAATTTATGCCAAGTATATTTTATTAATCTATGATTTATACTAATATAATTATTTTAATTAAGTTAAACTTCATGATTTTCTGCCTTCCTGTTTCTATGCAGAATCATTGCTACACAATTACTGATTTTCTGCCTTCCTGTTTCTATGCAGAATCATTTTCTTCTATTTGTTGCTCTTAACTTTCTTTATCTATGTGTGTGTGGAATCTTTTGTAATGTTAAGATTGTAATCTCTTGCTACACAATTATAAATATTCTAGTCTGCTTAAATTTTGATGACAACAACAAATAATAATTTAAATAATAGAGCTAACTGAAGATAATTTGACAGAGAATTGCATATGCCTTGGATGCCCAATTTTTGCGTCAATTAATTAAATTAAAATCTAACTCACCAAAAGGCTTGATCTAACCTAATTTAAAATCTAACTCACTGAAGGAAACAATGCGCCATCATTCAATCATCTTCATAAGCTTCAATTTAAAATGCCAAAACAAAATGGAAATTGAAGTTATCACATTACAATTTCAATCTCCAAAGCTTGGGAATAACAATCCACGAGAGCTCCAGAAAATTCCAAGTTACTTAAGAACCAGGCACAAATTTGGTGGCATATGCCCATGCATTGTTAGCCACTGGGTCATCCAGATGGTCTAAGAGGTTCTCCAATGGCCCTTTACCTGTGACAATGGCCTGGACGAAGAAACCAAACATGGAGAACATTGCAAGCCGGCCATTCTTGATCTCCTTCACCTTCAGCTCTGCAAATGTCGGAGGATCGTCAGCAAGGCCGAGAGGATCAAAGTAGGTACCACCTGGGTAGAGATCGTTGCCTTCTCCAACTCCATCCAAGCCATTGATGCGGTAGCCCTCAACCAGTCCCATGAGGATTACTTGGATGCCAAGCACAGCAAGAATGCTCTGTGCATGGACAAGGTTGGGATTTCCAAGATAGTCGAGTCCTCCTTCGCTGAAGATTTGGGAGCCAGCTTTGAACCAAACAGGTTCCTTGAAATCCACTCTCAACCACTTCTCCAGAACCTCTGGGGTTATGCATCCTAGAGCACCAAGCATTGCCCATCTCCCATGGATTACCTGGAAGAGAGCTTAATAATGAAGAACTACTGCTTATTGATGAAGTTTGATGCATAAGGATAAAAAGTTAGTTACCTCAAGAGCGCGATTTTTGGCAAATGCCTCAGGGTCAGCCGAGAGCCCAGCAGTGTCCCAGCCGTAATCACCAGGGAATTCTCCGGTTAGGTACGATGGTGTCTGGGCCGAGAAAGGTCCCAAGTATTTCACTCTGTCAGGCCCATACCACAGATCATTGCCCTGATTTAAAAAAAAAAAAATTATCAAAATTATATTTTGATCATAGGAAATATTTAAAAATGTAATCTTTTATGTGAATTTGGATTGCTCACCATTCTGAACTTCCAGTCTGCCATTTGCAGGCCATCTTTGAGAGGATTGGCGGCGGCAGAGAAGTGGGCCGAGCCTGACCGAGGAATGGAGTTGGCCTGATGATGGTTGCTGCCATCAGTCTGGCTGATTTCACCTCCTTGATATATGATTTTCTTTGCTTTCAAAGTAGTGGAGGAAATGAGTTTATGTTACTAATTGGTGGTAGCGTTGGCCTGATGATGGTTGCTGCCATCAGTCTGGCTAATTTCACCTCCTTGATAAATGATTTTCTCTGCTTTCAAAGTAGTGGAGAAAAAGAGTTTATGTTACTAATTGGTGGTAGGGAGAGGGGCTGTTTAAGGATTTTGTGAGGTCAGTC